CTTTACACATAAGTAGATTGTCCCATCTTCCTTCCTCAGAGCAGCTAGTGGGTTTGAACCACCAACCTTCTGGTTAACAGCCAAATGTCTTAGGCACTGCATCACCAGAGCAGTTTTTAGAACCCTTATTTTAATTTTACCATAACCTTGTTCAATAAGGCTAGGCAAATTTGATTATTCTGTGTGATAGAAATTTCATGATTGGCATGGACTCAATGGGGATTTGTTAAAGGCAATCAGTGAATGTCTATAGGTAGAGTCAGTGTATTACATGGCCTATGGAATACTGTAGTTCTCTTGGCCTGAATGTTATAGTTGATATGAGAGTGAAAAGAATATTCTTCTGTTCAGTGGTGTTACGGATTGAATTATGTCCCCCCAAAATATGTTGTAAATTGTAACCTCTATGCCTGTGAGTATAATCCTATTCAGGAAAGGGTTGTCTTTGTTATGTTAATGAGCCAGGACTAGGATAGAGTGTATCTTGAGTCAATGTCTTTTGAGATATAAAAGAGATTAAACAAGCAAAGAGAGGAGAGCTGGGTAAGATAGATCTCCAAGAAAACCAGGAAACTGAAGTTGAAGAGTTAAGGACCTTCCTCCAGAGCTGACAAAGAGAGAAAGCCTTCCCCTAGAGCTGGCCCTCTGAGTTCCAACTTCCAGCCTCCTAAACTGTGAGAAGGAGCTCTGTGGCGTAGTTCCTAAGGCATTTGACTGCTAACCAGAAGGCTGGTGGTTCAAACCATCCACTCCTTGGAATGATGATTGGGTGATCTACTTACGAGAAATACCGCCTCAGAAACCCAAGGAGGGGTTGCTGTGAGTCAAAATCGACTCAACAGCAGTGAGTTTGGTTTTTAAACTGTGAGGAAACAAATTTCTGTTTGTTAAAGCCACCCACTTGTGGTATTTCCATGATAGCAGCACTGGATAGCTAAGATATATGACTTGATGATACATAAACTCTCAATGCAGTAATCTTTTTATTGTGGGTTATTATAGCTTCTATTACTCCTAGAAGTTGACCAACAGGGATCTGAGTTTAGGAGATTTTTGTCATTCAGCTCTTGTATAGTATGAGTCGGGGCCGACTCGATGGCACATGACAACAACAACAACAACATAGCAAATGCTGAGGCCAGCCCTTTGCCTACAGGGCTCTACATCTGTGTGTAAAGGATCTGTGACATTACTGTAGGTAGCCAAGTATAGGGAAGAGCGAGGAAAGTGTTCTCTGTGTAAATGAATTTGTGCTGTTGAACCTGATGGGCACTGTTATTGTTGTTGTTGTTAGGTGCCATGGAGTTGGCACTAGGTATTATCTTCTCCTGGAAGCACTGGGGGCCATTTGTTGCAACATTGCAGTCTTTCTTTCTGATTCCTTCAGGTAGTAGAAAACATGTTCAGGGTTTTTTCTCTTTTTTCTTTTTTAATGCTTTTTAAAAGGTGATGAACTCTTTAACTTGGGTAGCAAAGTTCAGTTGTAATAAGTTAATACAGTCTTAGATTTTCCAAAGGAAACTCAGTTGGAGTGAGATTAGTGGCAAAACATGGTCTTTGTGGGACAGGAAATGATCTGAAGAAACGTGTTGTACAGGGCTAGATTTGTATAGGATGGATATTGCGTGTAGAATATAGTGATTATGGCATTTGGCTGCTAACCAGAAGGTCACTGGTTTGAACCCACCAGCTGCTCTGGGGAAGAAAGGCAAGGCAGTCTGCTTCTGTAAAGATTTACAGCCTTGGAAACCCAATGGGAGTCTCTGTAAGTCAGAATCTACTTCATGGCAGTGGGTTTAGGAAGGAAAAAAAAAATGTAGTTGCTAAATTGCAGCTTAGTTTAGAACTTCCTCTTTTTTAAAAAACGTAGGAGGAAAATATTAGGAATTTAAATATAATTTGCAAAGAGAAATAATAACACAGCTTAAACTTTAAGTAGAAAACCATTTTCCTGGTATTTTAAGGGTAAAAATTAAAAGGCATTATTAAATATCGAAGAACAGAAAAATGTCTTACATTCTTTGTCAGAAATTGACCAATCAGGATGGTCCTAAAATATGTAAAATGTATATATGAAAGGTATAAGATAGTAATAAAATTGACAGTTATTTCCTTTCTGTTACTTATTGCCTGAATTTCCTTTGATTTTCCCCTTCACTTAGAAAGTGCTCCTACAGGTGGAGATGGAAGGAAAGGGGTAGAGGAAAAGTTATAGCCTGTTCCATTTATTTTTTATTACTTTTTTTTTTTCAATGTTTCAGTGGCATTTGCCAGTATGGGTAAGATTAATTGTTACAATACAAACCAATTTGAAAATTAGTTTTTAAATTGAGCTATAATATATAAAATCTTATGGTAATGTGCAGATCTGACTATATCCAATTGCAGTTTTCATACCCACACCAATTGTCTTGTAATAATCGAGAATGCATCCTCTGTGTGGTGTTTGCAAGTTAAAGCTATTTTGGAAATCACACTGGTATATCTAGTTGCTTTCTTGGGTGTATGCAGCTCATTATTGATTATAATTTTATTTTAGAATTTAGTTTAAGGGGATGGGGTAAGTCTTTTCAAATTCTTAATTGTTAAGAATCTTAATGGAAGGTAGGGATGAATAAATGAGGAAGAGCATGATAATATTGGAATAGTAACAGTAAGGGAAGTCATAATAATTCATCAAGTACCTATGTAAAAATAACACCAGTTCTTATATACCATAGAGAAGACAAGACATTTAGAAGAGGGATGCCTTAAAAATCTTACCAAAGAAAATATTCACAAATGCAAATAAATACATAGATTTTATACTTCATGGAAGACCCAGCTGTACTGTACAACATGTAGGTAGTTTCAGGGTGACTGAAAGTGTATGAGCCAACTCTTGGGAAGGGAAGGGAGAGAAATGACAAGCTATCTTCCGGTGTCTACTCCATTTCCCCCCACTTTTTTCTTCTTCCTTTTCTGTATTTTCATGTTCCCTTTTATTTTCTCACCTCTTTTACCATTTCCACATTTTTCTCAAATTCACTCCATCCTTCACTGCATCTTCACTTCATCCTTCACTCTGTCCTTCAGAGTGACTGTATGAGACTTTATTGCACCCATCACTCACAGAACTTTGACTGCTGTGCCTCTCATTCACAAGTACAGAAACTCACTGATGAGTTTCATTTACATTAATACAGAAAAATTGAAGGTTAAGAGAATGCCACTAGACTGTCAGCTCCATTAAGACAGGGATTATTGTCTCTTTCATTCATTTTTCTATCTCTAGTGTCTAGAACAGTGCCTATGCAAGGAAGGCACTCAATAAATAATTGTTAATAATAACTAAAGCATAAAACTTTATGCTTGATTGACTGCTTGGGTTTCATGCAATAGATAATAGGGAACATTATGATTGACTAACTAGAGAGTGACTTGGTAATAGAAAGTGAAGATATTTATTCTGTTTAGTGGCTGTTTGTAAAATGGATTATAGCTTGAAGTGAAGAAATGCTAGAAACTGAACAGAGTTAGGAGATTGTTGTAGTAGTTCAGAGAAGGTGAGGTGTTTTGCTTGGCTTTTTATCCAGTGATGCCCGCAGCAGGTACCCTTCTTTGAAGTCTGATTTCTTCACTTTATGACTTCGGGATACATGCATGTAGGGAAGAGTTCTGCACTAGGAAGCAGAAGGCCAGGCATCTAGTCCCTGCTTAATTCATCTAGACATCAGTCACTTTATTTGTGAAATGAGGATAATCTTAATCAGAGGTCTAGAGCAGATCATCTGTTGGAGTCCTTTGCAACACTATCTGTTTGTCAGTTATAGGTAGTATGAACAGTGAGTACCATATTTTACATTCTAATATTAATTCCTATAGCTGTTTTAAGAAGGCAAAAAAGCCCATGATGATATTAAATATTTCAAAACAGGTTATTTATAGTTTAGTATTATGTGTACTTATTGCTATATTTTTAAATATATTTGCTTGTTTTTATATGTGCTGGGATTTAGTTTTTAGCTATTATTGGACTGTGATAGCAGCCAAGTTGTTGGTGGACAAAAGTTCAGCCTGGAATACTCACTCTTATAAAAACATGAAAAATGTAAAAATTGTTCTAAAAGGCATAATCTCTTAAAAAACTATAGAAGCAATAAGCTTGGTATTGTTTATTTAGTATTGCTAGAATTATAGTTTCTACCCTTTTTTTGGCTACTGAATGCACTACTGTTTTATATATGTATGTATATAGATAGATAGATAGACAGATTTACATTCACACGTACTTTGATTTGGTTAGAACCTTTGGTACCAGTGTCTTTCTGGGTATCTCACGCTCTCTCTTTTGTTGTTGCTGTTTTCCCTTCTGTTTGGGTAGCTCCTTGCCCTCCCCATTCCTTTTAATCCATCTGGAAAGATGAAGAGGCAGCTGCTATGGTAACTATGCATTTTGGTTAATGAATAGTTTAGCAAGATACATAAAACATAGGCAAACTGAGCAGAGTTGATTGCTGTCAAAGCCATGGGAGTACAATACTTTCTTTTCCTTCTTCTCCTCACCTAATAAAAGCTAATTTTCCTGTGATATTTTGTTTTCTAAACTATTATTTGTAATGCTGAAATGCTACCATGAGCAATTTCCCTTCCTGCTTTGTATACATAATATTTCATTCTGGGATGAGTATATGGGAGATGAGTTGAGGTGCATAAAGGGAAAGAATTTATTCATTGGGTTAAGAAGTAAATTTCCTTTAAATTCATACACAGAACAGGGACTTTTATTAAATATTTAGCTTTTAGACTTGTTACTTTTTTTTTCTTTTGGGCCACTAGTGCTCCTTTTGAGTGTCCCTCGGGGTTAGAACCAGTAGTGAGTAGTATGTTTCTTGAAGATGTTTCTATCCTAAAGGCCAGCTGATGCTGGACTAGCACATTTCAGCTAACCTTGACAGTTCCTGTAATCTGTGCCATCCTGTCTCATACTGTCCCATCTCATAGTTGTCCTCTCTCTGCAGTGCTCTATGCCCAGGTCTCTGTGGCTGGGCTGCTCCAGCCTGGCGGACAGCATGCCTTCGCTGCGATGCCTGTATAACCCAGGGACTGGCGCACTCACAGCTTTCCAGGTACTTTCTCTGTCTCTGTGGATTATTTGCAGCCATTAGTACGTGTCTGACTCATTAGTGTGTCCCTCTTCTTTCCCATGCTTTACTTACGTTCGCCTTTTCTTCATCATATTGCCTGTATTTCACGTGACTCAGTACTCCTTTAATGATTAATTTTTAATGTAGATCCAGACTGATTCACTCTTAAGACATTTTTGTTACGATTGGTTTGCTAAAATTGACATAGCTCAACTTGACTGTTGGTTTTCAAATCTAGCAGAAGTGTAATAATGAATTTTACAGTGCTCTCAATAAATAGCATTCAATATGTAATGTTTACTCTGGAGCTAATAAAGCCATTTAATGTAATTCATTAATTATAATCAGTTTCTTGAACAACTTTTTATGTTTTTCGTATGATTAATAAAAATATAAAGTGTTCTACTCAGAATGTCTTTTGGTTAATATATGTTGTTTTGTAAGAACTGTGTTTTTATTTATATCTTGGTTAATGGGTCTAGTTTCAAGGTGGAAAGGCTTTTAATTTTAAGACCTGTCAGTGCAGTATTCAGCTTGGGACAGTCAGTGGTCTTGCATAGACTGACAGATTCTAGATTCCTTCAGCCTTTCTTAGAAGCCATTAGTTCAGTGCCAGGATGTAAGATTGAACTAGAGAAAGAGGAATGGGAATTTTGTAGTAGAAATTATAAGATAACTTGTTACCCGTTTCTCCTGGGTACCATATATGGTGATATTCTTGGCCGAAGTAATTTTGTGTCTGCCTCAGGTTTGTGAGATTTATGGTTAGCATTTGATTGTAATACACAATAAATTAGTTTTGCTTAATTTTTTTTTAACTTATGTAGTTCATCTAGTTGGAAGAGTTTCAAAGATAAGCTGTAAGCAAACATCAGAATGCTTATGATTCATTCTTAATTAAATGAGGGGAACTTCAATACTCCATGGAGTCCCTGGGTGGTGCAGATGGTTAATGTTCTCAGGTGCCAGTGGAAAGGTTGCATGTTCAAGTCCCCCCAGAGGTGCCTCAGAGGAAAAGCCTGCCTGTCTACTTCCAGAAAAATCAGCCATTGAAAATCCTGTGGAGCACATTTCTGCTCTGACAGACATGGAGTTGCCATGAGTCAGAATTAACTTGACAGCAACTGGTTTTTTTTTTTTTTAAATATTCCATATTCCCAAAATGTGCTAACAGTTGCTAGCCTTTAGTGATGACAAAGCTGGAGATTTCCATTTGTCTTTTGCAAAATTTAATGCTGAGCTTCCTTTGCTTATACTGTGAGAGACAATGCAGTAAAGCATGTAGACTTGGGAGTCATTTAAATCAGAGCTTACATACTTTCTTGTCACTAGTGGTGTGATGGTTGGGTGAGCAAGTTATTTCACCTCTCTGGTCCTCATTTTCCTGATCTGAGACTGTAGTAAGAGCATGTAGTAAGCCGCTGCTACTTCTGTCATCATCGTTAACATCATTGTGCTTCTTGTTAAAGAATATTGATACCCAGAGAGTATCAATTTATTTCCAAAAGTGAAATACATTTTTTAGTTTATATGCCGCTGATACAAGATTTCTATCCTAAAACAAACAAACAAACAAACAGTTGCTGTCAAGTCATTTCCAGCTCACGGGGACCCCATGTGTTTCAGAACAGAACTATGCCCCGTAGGCTTTTGATGGCTGTGACCTCTGAGGCAGATCACCAGCCTTTCATCTGAAGTGCCCTGAGGTGGTTTGAACTGCCAAGCTTTCAGTTAGTAACGCAGTGCTTGACCGTTTGCGCCACCTGGGGACTCCTAGGGGGCCTATACGCTAGCCTAGTGGTTTTGATACCTTTGGGGGGCCTGGACTCCTTAGGGGATGTGATGAGAACAGTGCATCTTAGAAAGATGTACATACACATATATAAGCAAAATTTTATTTAATAGTTATATATATAATTGTAACATTTACACTCTACCAAGAAATGGGAGAGAGATTAAATCACATAATCCCCAAAATATAATCTCCAGAAGTGATAAGTGCTGTGAAGGAAATGGGCCCTGAGGTTAGGTGGGATTTGGTGCATTTGAAACTAGATTATTGTGACTAGATTATAGGGAATGAGGAAAAAGGGGAGAACTGAGTGAGAGAAAGTTGGGGAGGTTTGATCATTCAGGACTTCTGGGCCATTGAATGTTTAGTCTTTATGTTGAAAAGAGTGGCAATTCATTGAAAGGATGGTAGTGCAGTGGTGAAAGCACTCAGCTGTGAACTCATCAGCCACTCTGCAGAAGAAAGATGTGACAGTCTGCTTCCATAAAGATTTATAGCCTGGGAAGCCCTGTGGGGCAGTTCTACTCTGTCCTGTAGGGTTACTGTGAGCAGCCCTGGGTTTGGTTTGCTTTGGGTTATCTGATCAGATTTGCATTGAGATACATTCCTCTGGCTATAAGAAGATCATTTCCATAATTGAAGACAGAGATGATGGCAGTGTGGAGTAGTGTTTCTTAAACTTTTTGACTTCAGGACCTCTTTATGCTCTTAATAATTATTGAGGAATTCAGATGTGGGTTTATTTATTGATATTTACTGTACTTGAAATTAAAACAGAAAAAATGAAATGTTTATTTTAAAATAGCTGTATACTCATTACATCTTTATACAAATAACATTTTTTGTAAAAATGTAAAGTAACTGTATTTTGAAATGAAAACATGTAATGAAGACTGGCATATGTAATTTTTTTGCAAATCTTTTAAATTTCTAGATTAATAAAAGGCAGCCAGATGCTCATATCTGCTTCTGTATTCAATCTGTCTGTTCTAATGTGTTGGTTTGGTTGAAGTACATGAAGGAAATCTGGCTTTACACAGATACGTAGTTTGAAAAGGGAGGGACGCTTTAATAGACTTTTAAGGTAATTTTAATTTTTTAAAGGTTACTTGTAGCATATAATCTGAAATCATATCAGTGAACGTTTTATACTCTGTTACATTAAAATCCATTGGTTTCAACTTTTCAACAAATGGTGCTGGAACAATTAGATACACATATGCGTTAAAAAAAAAAAAAAAAAAAGAACCTCAGCCCTTATATTGCACCATGTACAAAAGTTAACTCAAAATGGATCAGAGACCTAAATATAAGAATATAAGAGCTTAAATTATAAAACTAACAGAAGAAAATATGAGAGGAAAAAAAAAATCTTTGTGAGTTTGAATCAGGCAAAGATTTCTTAGATAAAACACAAAAATGTGAACTGTAAAAGAAATAATTTTAAATAGAATTTCATCAGAATTTAAAACTTCTGCTTTTCAAAAGACACTTTAAGAAAATGAACAGATAAGGCACACACTGGAGAAAATATTTATAAAACACAAATGTGATAAAAGACTTGTATCTGGAATGTATAAAGAACCTTAAAACGTAACAGTAAGAAAAACTACCCAATAAAATGGCAGATGAGTTGTAGAATAACATCAAAGATACCATACATGAAAGCAAAAGGTCATTAAAAAGACGGGGGGCGGGGGGGAAAGACTAAAATGGATGTCAGAAGAGACACTAAAACTTGTTCTTGAACTGCAGAGTAGCTAAAATGAATGAAAAAAATGATGAAGTAAATGAGCTGAACAAAAGATTTTAAAGGGCAGCTCGAGAAGACAAAGTAAGGTATTACAATGAAATGTGCAAAGACCTAGAGTTAGAAAGCGAAAATGGAAGAACACACTCAACATTTCTCAAGCTGAAAGAACTTGAGTTGCAATATCGAAGGATTCTGTTGTAAAAAAATTGGACGACTCAGGAAGCATCAAAAGAAGACGAAGGAATACACAGAGTCACTGTATCAGAAAAAGAATTGGTCAGTGTCCACCCGTTTCAGGAGGTAGCATATGATAAAGAGCCAATGGTACTGAAGGAAGAAGTCCAAGCTGCACTGAAGGCATTGGTGAAAAACAAGTCTCCAGGAATTGATGGAATACCATTTGAGGTGTTTCAGCAAGCAAATGCAAAGCTGGAAGCACTCACTCATCTTGAGCACTCACTCGAGCCAACGGATTTGGAAGAGAGCTACCTGACTGACTGACTAGAAGAGGTTCATATGCATATATATTCCATAGAAAGGTGATGCAATAGAATGCAGAAATTATTGAACAATATTATTAATATGACACTCAAGTAAAATTTTACTGAAGATAATTCAAAAATGGTTGCAGGAGTGCATCTCCAGGGGACTGCCAGAAATTTGAGCAGGATTCAGAAAAGGACATGGAATGAGGGATATCATTGTTGATATCAGATGGATCTTTGTTGATAGGAGAGGATACCAGAAAGATATTTACCTAAGTTTTATTGACTATGCAAAGGTGTTTGACTATGTGGATCGTAACATTATGGATAACACTGTGAAGAATGGGAATTCCAGACCACTTGTGCTCATGAGGAACCTGTACATAGACCCGTGTGTAGACCAAGAGGCAGTTGTTCAAACAGAACAAGAATACTGTGTCGTTTAAAATCAGGAAAGGTATACTTCAGGGTTGTATCCTTTCACCATACTTATTCAGTCTGCATGCTGAGCAAATAATCTGAGAAGCTGGACTATATAAAGAGGAATGTGACATGAGGATTGGAGGAAGACTCATTAACAACCTGTGATATGCAGATGACACAACCTTGCTCGTTAAAAAGTGAAGAGGACTCAAAGCACTAACCAATGAAGATCAAAGACTAAAAGCCTTTAGTATGAATTGTACCTTAACATAAAGAAAACAAAAATCCTCACAACTGGACCAATAAGCAACATCATGATAAATGGAGAAAATACTGAAGTTGTCAAGGATTTCATTTTACTTGGATCCCCAGTCAATGCCCATAGAAGCAGCAATGAAGAAGTAAAATGATGTATTGCATTGGGCAAATGTGCTGCAAAAGACCTCTTTAAAATGTTAGAAAGCAAAGATATCACCTTAAGGACTAAGGTGTGCCTGACCCAAACCTTGCTATTTTCATTTGCCTTGTA